GCGCACGCGGCTCGCTGCTTCCTTCGGCGTCTGCCGCCCTCTGCCTGCGCTTTGTGGCGGCGCCGCTTCTGGTCGCCCCCCGCCGCCCCCGGCTACCTCCCACCCAGAAAGGCCGGGCCTCTGTCGGCGGTGGTGGGAATGGCCGGAGGAGGCCAGGGCTCCCGTGGGGTTGACCAGCGCCCCCAGAGACTGGCTCATGGGGCACAAAAGGGGCTCGGGGAGGGCCGTTCAGGCACCGCGTCCAGCGTCCCAGGAGCCTGGCTTAGAAGACTGCCATCAGTAAGATGCTGTCTTTACGGGCGGTGGCCCCCTTCTGGAGCTCTGATGGCTGGGTGGGTAAAGTCTTTGGCTGCTAACCAACAGGGCGGCGGTTCGAACCCACCAGCGGCGCCACGGAAGACAGATGTCTTCCACCTGCTTCAGTGAAGATTTGCAGCCTTGGGAACCATCTGGGGCAGGTCTGCTCTGTCCCGGAGGGTCACTGTGAGTCGTCCTCTACTAGATGGCAACGGGCTCGGCTCTTTTTGTTTGTTTGTTTGGTCTACAGCGTTTCTGGGCGTGTTTGCATGCGTGCACACACTGTGTGGGTGTGCTTTGACCAGGGTTGTCAGGTGGTATGGGAAGGAAAGCGCTGAACCGCCGTGGCTCGGTGGCTGGTGTGACGTAGGCAAGTCGACCCCCTTTTGTGCTCACTTCCTGCTTTGGGGATGGGGCAGAACAGTGAGAGATTCTGCCCTTCACAGCCTGGGTGTCAGGCTCCCCACTGTGAGCTCATCTATTCCAGACCCCCACCCCCAAGGTTTGCCTGGGGCCCAGGTGGGATGGGAGAATGGGACAGGTGCATCGGACAGGGGTTCAGGGCCACCGCTGTGCCACAGGGGTGCCCAGCGTGGGCGGTGTGGTGGGAGGGGCGTCTGCGGGCACAGCGGGGCATGTGTCATTGGCTTTAGTGGCCACAAAGTAGAGCAGGCCCTCTCTGAACCCCTCAGTGACTGCCCATGGACACACTTCAAAGGGGCCTACGGGGCGTCTGAGGGGCAGTGAGCTGGTGGCGGCAGGGAGGGAGAGTCGGTTCCTGAGACTGAAGCCTGGAACAGCCATGGCCCCCGCTCACTGGGCCCGGGTGGTCTCTGTTCAGCTCCCTCCTCTGCTGTTCTAGGGATCAACGCCCAGGCACGCAGGCTGCAGAGGACCCGAGCCAAGGGCACGGCCACAGGCGCCCAGCGGCCCTCGCCACCCCGCCTGCGCCGCAGCATCAGTGAAACCAGTCTGAGTGCGGCCGCCTCGCCTGCAGACACCGGCTGGCCATACTACGCCACCCTGCCGGCTGCCTCAGGCCCTGAGGAGCCTCCGGACGTGGTGGGACCTGCTAACGAGGGGGCCATGCGCCACTCACTCTACCAGTCGCCACATTTGCTCCTCCTTCAGGGCTACAGCCAGCAGCATGTGAGTGAGGCCTCCAGTGCTGACCCCGGGGGGCTGAGCCCAGGAGAAGCGGGGCTGCTGGGACCCGGGGCAGCTCCAGCAGGAGTGGGGTCTGCCCTGGGGCAGGTGGAGGAATGAAAGTTTCCAGGACCTGGAGGGGAACCTGCCAGGTGCCCGTGGTGCAGACCCTCAGCCGAGAGTTTCCGGTCGCTGCCACAGGCGTGGGCTGGGCAACTGTGCGGTGTGGAGGCAGCCCTCGACTCTGGGAGGGCAGGGCTCCCCCTTCCTTGGCTTCCAGCAGCATGTCTGTCCAGGCCGGAAGTGAAGACCAGGCCTCATCCACGCATCTAGCAGTGCGATTGTTGGGGCCTGGGAGGATGGTTCCTGTTCCAGGTGGTTCTTCCTTGGCCCTTGGGACAAAGTCAGGCTTGTTCCTGGTCTCGGGTGCCTTAGGACTCCTCTGGGAACCACCTTCCTGGGGGGCCAGTGGGGCAGGCGCCCAGTGTAGGCAGGATAGGGTGGCTGGGGCATCGCGAACCTGGGGCCATCCGTCTGGCCTTGGGCCAGTGACCAGCCTATGGCCTGAGGCACCAGCCCTGAGCCCCACGCTTCCTTCCAGGACAGCCTGGTGTACGTGCTGAACCGGGACCTGCACACGGTGGGGCAGCGCACGCCCGCCAGCAGGCCCAGCATCAGCCTGGTGGCCCCTGACATCCTGCCCTTGCACTGCACCATCCGCCGGCGCCAGGGCCCAGGCCGCCCGGCGAGGCACACGCTGGTGCTGGAGCCCATCGCGGGCGCGCCCGTGGCTGTGAACTTCACCGAGGCCGGGAGCCGCCCCGTGGAGCTGCACCACGGGGACCTGCTCTCCCTTGGCCTCTACTACCTGCTGCTGTTCAAGGACCCGCTGCAGGCCCAGCCGCTGCCTGCCCAGGCCCTGGCCCGCCTCGAGGCCGCGCCCCGGAGCTGCCGTCTGTGCGGGGCTGCGCTCGGGCCCCGAGGAAGCAGCACCTGCCCCCGGAGGCCTGGCCTCGAGCCTGCCCGGCGGCGGCTGCACTTGGCCTTTGAGCCCTGGCAGGAGGAGGCCCTGCTGCAGCGGATCCTGGCGCTGGTGGAGCCCTCGGGTGATGACCACAAGCTGGCGCCCGCCTTCCTGCTGGGCCTCTGCGTCCAGCATGCCGCCACCCACTTCGGGCCCGGCGCCTTCAGCCAGTTCCTGCTGAAGATGGCCGGGGCCATCCGGGACACGGTCTGGGTCAGTCACGGGGGGCGTGTCCAGCATCCACAGGGGATGAAGAGCCAGGGCCCACGCCAGTGACCCCCCTTGGTGAGGGCAGTGATGTCTGCCTGACATTCCCCTTCCGGCCTCCTCTGAGGCTCTTCAGGAGCCGAGAGGCGGAGCCAGGAGCCAGGCAACGTGTGTCTGCACTGGTTGCCCCACCGGAAACAGGAGAGGCAGGAGGTTGGGGGGCCCAGGTGTCTGCTACCACACTGCACCCTAGGTCAGGAGTGAGTCACGAGTTCTGGTGTCCACTGGGAACCCTCACTTCTCCTCCCTGATCCTCAGGCTGAGATTCTGGGGTGCCGCAGTGCAAGGCCCAGGCTGTCCCCAGCCTGGGGCAGGGTGGAGCTCCCACCAGCCTCTTGTCAGCATGCTGGCAGCCCAGGCCAGTGGGCTTTGACCCTGGAGGCTTTCCTGGAGATGGGCCTCTTTTAGCCTTAGCACCAGCCTGAGCCCTGCCCTCCCGCTGTTCATCCATCCTCACATGTGCCCAAGGGGAAGGGCAGGGCGGGCCTGGTGCCTTACAGACATGGAGACCCAGGCCCACAGTGGTGATCAGTGACCTGTTACCTGCTGCCCTCGAGTCGATTTGACTCATGGTGACCCCGGAGGATAGTAGAACTGTCCCGTGGGTTTCCAAGGCTGTAATCTTCACTGGAGCAGAGTGCTGTGTCTCCTGTGCAGCTGGTGGGTTTGAACCAGTGTCCTTGTGGTAAGCAGCAGGTTGCTTAGCCACTGTGTCACCAGAGCTCCTGCCCACAGAGGTGAAGGACTAGTAAAGACAGGCCTCTGGGTCTCACTGTGCCCCATACCCTGGCATTGGTGCACCGCAGGTCTGATGTGTGTCCCAAGGAACCACTGTGGACCCCAGGCTCTCTCTGTCCCCAGGCTCTCTCTGTCCCCAGGCCCGCTCTGTCCCCGTGCCCGCTCTCTCCCTAGGCCCGCTCTGCCCTTGCTCTGGCGTTCACACACCTCAGCTCATTTGCCCCTGGGTTTCCTGGGCTTTCTCATGGCTGTCTCCACTCTGTGCTGCCCTCTCTCCTGCTGCCCAGGCGAGTGGAGGCTGTGAGGGTAGGTCAGACTTGCCCAGGGCTCCGCTCGTAGCCATGTGCTGCTGAGGGGTAGCTTTCTGTGTCAGGGACAGCGGTGGGAGTGCCCGCTACACCCTCGTCCCTGCGGGGCCTTAAGTGCACTGTCAGCTTCGAGCACACGCCGCTCTGACTGTGGCTGCTGCGGCCGGCGGTCCTGAGGAGCTCTGAAGCCCCTGCGTGTGCCAGCAGGGGCTTCACTGTAGTGTTTGTGAGCCGTTGGGCCTGTGTTCACCATTCAGATGGTCAGTGTCATGTCAGGTGGAAGGTGGTGCACTGTTGCTGCTCCGGGCTGCGTGTTGGTCGCACTTGGTGACGGCAGGGACCGCCTACTGTGGTGGGAATGAACAGTCAGCATCCTGGGAGCACAGGGCCACCCCTCTCAGCTGGTGGGCACGGTGAGGCCGCTGAACATGCCGTTACCCCACCTCCTCACGCTTGCTCTTTCTTTGCTCACAACCGTAGGAGAAAACCAAGGAACTTGCAGAGAAGCAGGCGCAACTGTAAGTAGGCACGGTCTCGAGACCCCCCTCTCACCCAGCAAGCCCCCCAACGGGCTGGGCCAGGGCTGCCTCCCTGATGCCCGGCTCGGCTCGGTGCCTGGGCCATGCTGCCCTTCAGTCAGAGTGGCTTTCCACTGTCTCCTCATCACCTGAAGTTCCTCCAGAGGGTCCCTGAGACAGCCGTGGACGAAGCCCTCGTCCGGCCCCTCGTCCTCGTGTCCCTAATTCCCACGTCTGTGGGAAAGTGCAAAGCTCCAGGCTGGAGCAAGGGGGGTACACCTCTGGTCTCAAGAGCCCATGTCCGAGGGCGCTGTTCTCACCTTTACAACCTGCTGGGGGGCTTGGGGAACAGCCTGCCTTCTGGATTCATGAAGTTGAGGGGGGGCCTGTTGGAAGAGCCACATGCCCCCCTGCAGTGTGCCTCCGAGCCCCCCTTCCTGTGGCAGACGGGCTGTGGGAGGCAAACCCTGGAGGCACTTGGCTCTGTCCCAGGGACCCTGAGCCAGTGACCAGCGAGTGAGGTGGTGTGCTCTCCAATCGACGTGACCCCAAAGCCACTGGAGAAGGACTGTGTGGCTTATAGATCGAGGAGCGAGGAGCTAGGATTTTCGGGGAGCCCTGCCCCCAGCCTCTGTGCTCAGGTGCACGGGGATTGAAAGATCCTGCCCCCGTGCCTGGCTGCGATGCAGTCCCTGCCTCCTGGCTGGGCAAGGCAAAACATTTTTCCGTAGCAGTGCTGAGCAGTTACGTTCCAGAACTGTGCTGTGAGGCCTGTTTGCACCGCCAGCAACCCACTGTGGCAGTGCGGGAAAGTGCAGGCTCTGGTCACCCACATACCAGCCCACTTTAACACGTCCTTAACCTTTCGCCCAGGTGGTGTGCAGTTCTTTTGAATGGCCGGCGACCTTGGGTTTGACTAAAAGCATTTTCTGCCTCTGGGATCATAGATGGTCTCTCTCCTTAGCTTGTAACGGGGGCCCGACTCAGTAGGGTTTCTGATACTGACCCAGTCCTGAATTCAGGGAGTAATCCCCACATGACTGTTGGCTGACTGACTTGTTAACTGCCAAATGGGACTTGCTAGCACTTGGTCAGGATCACCCATTGGGATCACAGGCGGCATTGGCCTCTTTTAGTTTTTCTGTGTCACTCTTGTCTGATGTCAGGCCGCCTTCTCTGTTTTTCATTCTCTGGGTAGTTTGTAAGGGCTCTCCGGGCCTCGGCGCTTTGCTAGAAGTGGCCGGGACAACTGTCTGGGCTGCTGCCCATTGGGTTCCGAGGTGGTAAGTCTTTATGGAAGTAGATCACCCCATCTTCCTTCCACACAGCAGCTGGTGGCTTTGAACCTCCAGCCTTGGTTAGAAGTCAAATGTAGGCACTGCGCGACCAGACATTAGAAACAAGGAGCCCTGGTGGTACAACAGGTTAAGTGCTCAGCTGCTGCTGGAAAGGTGGGCGGTTTGAACCCACCCCGCGGCTCCAGGGGAGAAAGCCCTGGCGCTCTGCTCCCGTGAAGGCGACAGCCTAGATGACTGCGGGCCAGCTCCTCGCCGTCACGGGGTTGGTATGAGTTGGAATCCACTTGCTGGCCCCGAACGCCGAGAATGACAACATCAACGTGATCAGAGCTGTTTTGGTAGGATCTCAGCTTTGGCAGCTTGTCAGTGGGTAATTTTGCAAACATTCCACATGGATTTGAGCGCGCTTTTAGTGTTTGTGTTTTGCCGAGCACAGCATCTGTTAGATCTAGTCTGTTGTTTGTTAGTTTCGCTCCACCACCTCCTAATCTGTTGTCAGTTTAAGCTGACTCTGAGAGAAACATACCTTAACACTTGCTCTTCCTCGTTTTCCTTGTGTTGATGCCTTGTGGTCAGCAGCAAGGTGGTTTTTTTTTTAAATTGTGATTTGGGTGAAAGTTTACAGAGCAAATATACTTTCCATATAGCAGTTCACATACACTTTGTCTCATGACATTGACCACAATTTCCCACAATGCAACAGCTCCCCTCCCACTTCCTCCCGATAGTTACCTCTTCCCTGTGTCCATCTCTCCATGCACTCCTGCCCCCTGAGCTGTCTCCCTGTGCCTGAGCAGCCCTTCTTTCTCTCATGCTTGTTCTCTCCAAGGAGGGTATCTACCTCAGGTAAATGCTCAACTGATATGCCTGTCTGTTGTTTGGCTGGAAGCCACAGGTGTGTGTTCAATTCCAGACCTGAAGGGCAGCTAGGGGCCATGGTCTCAGTGGTTCCATCAGGCTCCCTCGGGCCAGCAAACTTGTTCCCCGCCTTTTTTTTTTCTCCAAATGATTTTGAGTTTTGTTCCACATTGTTCTCTCTATCCAGCATCTCCTACAGAGATCCCCTTCCAAGTGGTTGACAGTAGTGTCCGAGCACCATCTATTTCTTCTGGTCTCATAGTCGTATAGGCTGCACATTGGATGGTGTACCAGTCGCTAGGACTAATTGTTTCCATGAATTTTTGGTTTTCTTCATTCTTCTTGGCTCTGGACAGGGAGAGACCCATTGTTGTATCTAGATGGCAGCTTGCAAGCTTTTAAGATCTCAGTCGCTACTCGTCACAGTAGGAGATGGAACAATGTTTTGTGTAGTATGTTATGCCAATTTAGCTCGATGTCCTCTGTGACCATGGTCCCGAGCCCATAGGTTCAACTACTCAGTCCCTCTGGGTAGCTGGCTGTGCCCAAGCAGTGACTACAACCTTGCCCCTTGTCAGCCCCATTATAAACCTGGGAATTCAGATCATACACATAAAGTTATTGGACCACTGTCTGCCAACCTTATACACGTTCTTAGGTGCACTCTCCACTTCATATACATACCTAATATTTCAGCCTGTCCACCCATCTATCCACCCATATACCCGTGTTTGCCTTCACTGAGCACGCCGTACTATATGCGCAAAAGGGTTCATCTTTGTTGCCTGTACGCCCCATGACCTCTTTCTCTTCCTCAGTGCCACTATATTGATCATTTGGTACATCACCCTTTTCTTCTCCCAAATCAAATCTCTATCTAACAGTGTTTTTACAGTTTGCGTTTCCGTTTTTAGGTTTTATGTTTCTGTTCTCAAGCTGCCTGTTCTCAAACCAGCCTGTTCTCAAGCTGCGATGGGCGTGACTTTGTGATCTGAGTGGGGGAACCAGCCCAAGCCGGGCAGGTGCCCAGAGCGCTGTGTGCCCGCCCCGTTACCTACAGCACGGAGCCTGCAGGCCTCCTGGCCTGGCCCGTGGCAGGGTCCCTTGGCAGCAGCCTCTGGTCATTCACTGAGTAAACTCCCGCCCACGGCTGGGGCTCAGGTGACGCTCAAGGGTCCGTGATGAGCGGCCCCCAGTCTCCAGATAATCGTAACCTGGATCCCGCTTCAGTGTCCCATGGTCCCCTCTTGCCCCCATATCACGTGACTTAGCCAAAGCAGTTGCCGTTGACTTGCTGCCCAGCCGCCCCTGACTCGTGGTGACCCCAGGGGTGGCGGGGTGGCACTGTGCACTGGAGGATTTTCCGTGACGACTGATCTTTGGGGGTTCGGCAGGCCTTTCTTCCAGGCACCTCTGGTGGACTCGAGCCTCTAGCCTTTGGGTTGCAGCCGAAGCCTGTTCTCTGTGGGTGACAGCTGCTTCTCAGTTTACTGGCCTCAGGGGTTCTCTGACTTCTCCCTTAGGTGCAGTGGCACTGAGCTGAGTGACAGGGCCACTTGTTTCCTGTTAATTACCTTTTTACGTAACTAACACTGGGGTCTGTAGTCTTGTTAAACAATTTGTTACATGCCTGTTTCTCACCCTGGCTCTTGCGGCCCCCCCTATTCACTCACTCACACTCACTCACTCACACTCACACACACTGTTGACCCAGCTCCCCCTGCCCCCCTATGCACATGCTCTCTGCTGACCCTAGAGCCCGAGAGGAGACAGGAAAATGGATCAGTAGCCAGCCTCCTTCCGACGGCCGTGGCAGGTGGGGTCCTCCTCCCGCCTCTGTGCGTGCTGCTGGCTGCTGTGGACTTGGTTCTGATGACAGTGATCCAATGTGACATGGTGCACCATCGGGCCTTCCTGTCATGGGGCTGTGGGTGTGTTTGAACCTACAATGTTTTGATCGTAGTTGAGCATTTAACCACTGTGCCACCAGGGTTCCTGTTGCACACATCCACCTGTACGTGTGACAACATGTGCACGTTTAAACTGCCCCCTGGGCAGATGCCCGGGTGCGGGCAGCAGGTGGTGTGCAGCTGGCCCTTACGCCCGGTCTCCGGCCCCGGCAGCCAGGAGCCGGCCTCCCTGCGCAGCCTGGCCTTCACGGACTTGGCCCCGGACCTGCAGCACGTCCTGTTCTGGATGGCCAACACCGTGGAGCTGTTGTACTTCCTGCAGCAGAAGTGCCCGCTCTACGTGCAGGGCATGGAGGAGGCGCTGGACGCCCCAGGTAAGCTTGGCGTCCCCGAGGAAGGCTGGGCGGGGCAGCGGGCTCCTGGAGCAGGAGCAGCCCCGCGTCTGTGGTCCGGACAGGCCTCTGTCTGGGAACCGCCCCTGAGGCTGTGGGATGACAGCCTGCAGCTCCCAGGGAGACCCAGGAGCACCCAGGCCATGCACACCGCCTCCTGTACAGGGACATCCTGCCCAGTGGGGAGACCCAGGCCTGTCCCAAACAAGAAAACAGGCATCTAAGTACTGAGAGTTCCAGGCAGTCTGGGAGGGCTTCACGGAGGAGGCGGGGTCTCTGTGGGCCAGGTCCCTGTGGGCCAGGGTTGGAGGCGGCAGATCTCCTTGGTGTGAGAATACAGGGGCTGCATGCAGGTCCCGCTGGGGTCCTGCCTGCCGTACGGGCTCCTATGCTTGTCTGGCGCAGTGCCTAAGGCATCTGACTGCTAACCAGAAGGCTGGCGGTTCAAACCCACCAGCCACTCCTTGGAAGGGAGGTCGGGCAATCTACTTCCATAGAGATACCCCCTTGGAAACCCAAGGAGGGGTCGATGTGAGTCGGATCGACTTGATGGCAGTGAGTTTTTTTTTTTTTCCTAATGCTCTTCTGGTCAGTAAGGGAACAGCCTCGTGTTTCTTGTGGCCTGGAGGGTTCTGGAAGAAAGGCTCTATGCAGCTGGCGGGCTGTGGAACTGGGGGTGCAGCCAGTGGAGAGCCTTGTGCTCTGGAGACCTGGCTAACCCAGCTGCCTGCACGCCACCCCCAAATGCCAAGTGTCCTGCTGGCGCCCAGGCTGGGGGCGGGCATGGGGCAGGGGTGTGGGGGCGGCAGGCTCTGGCTTGCTGCCCCTCAGTGCTGCGTGGGCAGTGCCTCGTGCTTGTCCCCTCTTCTCCCTGGAAGCGGGAGCCCGGGCCGTCCCTGAGCGCAGCAGGGGAAGCCAGGTGAGGCCGAAGCCAGATCCCGGGGCGAACAGGCTCGCCCCGCTGCACAGGGCCTGCCGTCAAGGGCAGCTCCCGGAGCGAGGGGCTCAACCTGGCTCCCGTGTCAGAGATGCCCGGTGCCCTCCTTCCCGCCCCTGCCCAGCCGGGGGGAGGCCCACTCCCATGCCCGGCACCCAGCTCTGGTCTGGGCTGCTAGGCATTGGTGCCTGGTCTCTGCCTGGGCCCTCTCTGTTCTGTGGGCCGCTGCAGCGTCTTCCCTGCAGCCCCTAGGGTGCTGGGGGGCATAGCTGGTTTGGGTGTTCTTGAAGGAACGTGATTGGGGTTGATGGTCTCCTCAGGCCTCTGTTGGGTGTCTGTGCCGAGCATCCACGGCTGGATGTGACTGTCCGCCAAGGCAGTGCCCACACTTGCTAGGTGGTTGGTTCTGACGTAACTGTGTGTGGAGATGTTGGTCACTGGGCCCCTCCTGCACATGTCCTTGGGGTCCTCACGACGTGCAGCGTCTGGAGCCCCACCCCATCCAGGTGCGGTGGCCGCGTGGGCTGTCCTGACGCTGGCTCACCCCTTTTCCACACTCGGGTGGGCACGTTGGGCACCACATTGAGGAGGGGAAGAGGCCGTTGGGGGCTGTCCTCATGGTCCCCTGACCAGGGACATCCTGTGGGGTCACTCAGTATCCCATGGTCATTCTGCGGTCGTGGGGTCATTGGGCATCCATAGGATTACTTTGAGTTCCCAGGGCCAGTCAGTGTTCTGGGGTCACTTGGCCTTCCACAGGGTCACTAGGCATCCCGGGGTGACTTGGTGTCCTGGGGTCCTTAGACGTCCTGCAGGGTGACTCACCATCCCGAGGCGTCACTGGGCATCCCCGGGTCACCACGCATGTTGCTGCCCTGCAGGCTCCAGGGACTCCCTGCTGTCATGTGCACTGACGGCCAGTGAGGAGGCCATGGCGGTGCTGGAGGAGGTGACCCTGTACGCCTTCCAGCAGTGTGTGTACTACATCTCCAAGGTATGCCGCCATGCGTCCCCGCTGAACACCCTCGGCACGGGCCGACCCCAGAGTGACGGAGGCTGTCTGTGGTCCCGCCCTCAGGCCCTGTACGCCTGCCTCCCGGCCCTCCTGGAGTGCCCCCCGTTCCCGGCCGAGCGCCGGGGCAGCTGGAGCAGCGGCCCGCGTCTCCCCGAGGAGCTGCGCCAGGTCGTGTCCATCTACCAGGCCGCCCTGGACCTCCTGCGGCGGTTCCGGGTGCACCCCGCGATGGCCACCCAGATGCTGGCCTACCTCCTGTTCTTCTCCGGCACACTGCTCTTCAATCAGCTCCTGGACAAGGGTGAGGGCGGTGGCGCCCCGGGGCCGGCCTGCCCCCACCCAGTAAAGAGGTGCCTGCTGTCACAGGGCTGCCGGGAGCCCCAGTCGGCTCAATCCCGCCGCGCCGACCTCTGACCCGCCTTGTTTCCTCACCGAGTCCCTCACTCTGTCCTGGCCCGGCAGGCCCTAGCCTTGGGGATGGAAGAGGACCGTGTGGGACACGCGGGGGGCCGTGGGTCTCCAGGGGCAGGGAGGGCGTGCTCCTGGAGAAGGCCGGTGGACGTGTCCCCAGGTCCCTCGCTCAGCTGCTTCCACTGGCCCAACGGCGTGCAGGCCTTCGCCCGCCTGCAGCAGCTTCTGGAGTGGGTGAGGGGCGCCGGCCTCGGGGCGGAGGGTGAGCAGTTCTTCCGGAAGCTCTCCTGCACGCTCAACCTGCTGGCCACGCCCAGTGCCCAGCTCGTCCAGGTAGGAGGGGCGGGGAGTCGTGGAGGCGTCGTCCCAATAGGAGGGGCCGGGAGTGGTGGGGAGCCCGGGTCAGCTGTGGCACTGGACCCGGGATGGGGTCAGCCGTGGGCCCGACTTCAGGGCCAGGAAGTGCCCAGGCTCCTGGAGTGAGCTGCAGAGTGTCTTCCACGGTGACCCCACGCAGTGGGCAGAAACAGAGGTCCCAGAGAGGGGCCTGCCAGTGTGGGGCTCGAGGGGCAGAGGGGGCCTCGTGGGTGTGATTCAGGTGGGGGACCTCGTGCTGGGGAGAGGACCCTGGCTGGCTGGAGGTCTGCCCGTGTCCCTCTCATCACCCAGATGCCCTGGGCCACGCTGCGGGCCACCTTCCCCGCCCTGCGCCCCGCACAGCTCCACCGGCTGCTCACCCAGTACCAGCTGGCCTCAGCTATGGGCCCCACGAGCGCCTGGGAGCCAGGCGCCCCGGATGGCCCCGACGCCTGCAAGTCTGGTGAGCCTGCGTCGGGTGGGGCAGGGCGCAGGGTGGGGGTCTCCGGGCCAGGCCTGCACACGTGGTCGTTACACGCACGCATCTATGCACACGTAGTGTGTACATGGGTGTCTGCTTTATTTCTAACCTTACTGTGGCAGCAGCATGTGCAGCGTGTCACCGGGGATAGAAACACGAGGTGGGGGTTGTTCATAGGCTCCCTGCCCCTTTCCCGTTGCCCTGGGTTCTTGGACACGGATGGTCCATGGGTGGGGGTGCCACCTAACATCCCAGGCCTGCCACGTGGCTGCCTCGGAGCTGAGCCAGGAGTGATGGTCAAGGTGACCACACCTGTGTCTGGAAGGACTCCTGTCAGCAGGCAGAGACCAAAGAGCTAGGCAGTGACAGTCATGGCTACCAGCTCAGTGGGGTGTAGAGCTTGGCCAGGTACATCCCTGTCAGAGGGATGGGGAGGGGAGGCGATGTCCTGGGTGGTCACCGGGGCTCCAGTGGCAAGAGCCTCCTGCCCTGGGTTGGTCACAGGCCCGGGCCGCCCTCCCGTGGCACTCTGGGAGTCAGGGAGCCTGTCCCTGCTCCTCCCGACACAACAGCACCCCAGGTCCCAGTGCAGGAGTGGGGTGCGGGAACCTGGGCCATGGGAGGGCAGCCCCCGCCAGGCCGGCACAGCCCGTGCTCCCCACAGAGGATGTCCTGGAGTCGTACGAGAACCCCCCACCCATCGTGCTGCCCAGTGATGGCTTCCAGGTGGACCTAGAGGTGGACATGCTGGACGACAGTGTCTACCAGCACCTTCTGTACATCCGCCACTTCCTGTGGGGCCTGCAGAGCAGAGCTGGCCCTGGCAGTGGGCCCCCGCCCTCAGAGTGCCTGGAGGTATGGGGGAAGTACTGGTCAGGAAGCCTTGGGGATTCACTTGGCTCTGGGAAGGGGCTCTGGAGGGTGATGACAGACATGGGCCGACTGGCTGCATTTCTGACAGAGTCTCGTGGCCTTGTCAGCTTCTCCAGGACAGAGCACTGTATGTTGAGGAGGCTGACCCCACTCATGGGGCTACAGTGAAAACAAGGGGGCTCTGCACTGACCCCTTACCAAGCCAGTACATCTGAGCTGGGCAGGGAGGTGCCTGGAGGCTGCCTCCCTGCAGTCCCTCCTGCTGAGCTCACTGTCCTTTTTGGGGTCAAAACTGCCACCAAGACATAGAGCCTTCACCCTTGTAGCTGCTTAGTAACCAGAGAGGAAGCTGAAGTCTCAGGACAGGTTCTGATTGGCTGGCATGGATCAGGCACTAGCCCCTTGGACCAATCAGCTGCCAGCAGAGGTGGGAGGGTCACGTGTGCAAAGGTGAACTGCAGTCTTCTGGCTGTTACTTACTGGAGCAGGAACCGGAGGTTTCTGAGCTGATGGCTGACACAGAGCGGCCCAAATCCCAGCCCAGCAGAGCCGAGCGCCTGACTCCAGACCTGTGGTGGCCATGGGCCCGCAGGGTCCTCAGGCCTCAGAGCCCCCCTGCGCGGGAGAGCTCCGGCCCCTTCCGGCCGTGCGCGCCTGCAGCCTGGCAGCGGTGGGTCTCACAGGGTGACAGACACTGAGGGTGGTGCCCTCGCAGTTTGCCTGTTAGTCTGCCCACCTCACAGGTGCTGTCGCCGGGCCGCAGCGCTCACCCTGTGGCTCTTTCTCCTCCAGGGCCCATATGACACCATTCCTGAGGGTCCCCCCGAGGGCCAGCACGGTGCCCCAATGCGCAGGGAGCCTGGGACCCTCCCTGACGGCAAGAGCCAGGGCACCTGGGACACTGACCCCTGGACTCAGGGTGCTGCAGGCAGACAGCCCAGCCGTGGGGGCCCAGCACCCACAGACGCCTCGTGCCTGCTGACGCCACCCAGCACCCCGCTGGGCCTTGAGTCCCCCACCCAGGACTGGCCTGAGGCCAGTGGGCCCCGTGGGAAGGTGCCTCCTGACGGGAAGAGGCCCGGCCTCGGTGGCACCCGAGGTGCAGCCCTGGAAGGTGAGGCTGCCATGGGCACACCTCCCCCCACCTCTGAAAATGGCCGTGTGTCCCCAGGCCTGGCAAGGCCCTCAGCACCTCTGTGGCCTCTGGCTGGCCCCCACCCCCAGGTCAGCAGCTCAGGGCTGGGTCTCAGATGAACAGCGGGGTTCCCCAGGGCACAGGGCTAGTACAGGTGGGGTACCTGTCAGGCAGCCTGAAGACTATGCCTGGGCAGGTGTGCCGGGGGAAGCCTGAGCTAGTGGGGCCCCGGGGGCAGCAGGGGGGTGTCCTGGGACGGAGAGGGGGCAGCAGGGAGGGAGGAGGGGCTCAAAGGTGAGTCTGTGTGGAACTATTCGGCTGCCCCACCCTCCAGGCCGCCTTACCCCTGATGGGCAGGGCCCCACCCAGTCCCTTGAGGCTTCTGGGCCCCACTGCCCCCCTGTCATCACACAGGAGACCCTGAGGCCCTGGGGGACACGCCTTCCAGCTGCAGCCCCAGTCCGGACGTGCCCTGCTCCTCGGTGGTGGTGGTGGAGCTGGAGAGGGGCCCTTCTGGGCTGGGCATGGGTCTGGTAGATGGCATGGTGAGCATCGTGGGCAGGGCCGGGGCAGGGGCAGGGCGGGCCAAGACCCTCCGGCAGCTCCTCCTCCTTGCTCCCCCTCCCCCGCTCTCCTGGGCCCCGACCCTGGTCTGCCCAGGGCCTCGGGAACCAGTGCTTTCGGGAGACACGGGGTCAGGCACAGCCCAGCAGGCCTGGGGGCCTCACAAGGCATCTGAGGCCTCTGCTCTGTCGCCAGCACACGCCCCTGGGGGCCCCTGGGCTCTACATCCAGACGCTGCTTCCGGGCAGCCCTGCAGCCTGTGATGGGCGGCTCTCTCTGGGAGACCGGATCCTGGACGTGGATGGCACCAGCCTGGTGGGCGTCAGCTACCTGAGGTACTTCCGGGTGACCCCACACACCTGGTGGTCATGGGGACCCAGGACCGAGCTCCGCAGGCCCCCACTGCCTACCTTCATCCTCACGCTATGGAGTGCCCCGCCTGGGTTCAGACGAGCCCCATTCCTCGTGCCTACATGGGGATGTCACGGGGGTCAATTGAGAGCAGCTCTGCAGGTGTCCCTGTGCCCCTGACACCCCTAGGCTGCTGACACCCCCATAGGAGGGGCACACAGACCCTGGCTGCTGAATCACACCCACGTCTAGTGGTGGGTGGGTGGAGACCAGGGCCCCCCGGCGGTGGTCGCGTCACCCTCCCGGCCGTGCACGCCTGGTGGTAGGTGGATGGGGACCAGGAGGGTACCCTGGCAGTGGTCGGGTCACCCTCCCAGCCTGTGCATCCCTGGTGGTGGGAGGGTGGGGACCAGGGGACCAGGGCAGGTTCAGGCACCCTGCAGCAGTCAGTCACCCTCCCGGCCTGTGTGTTTCAGGGCTGTGGACCTGATCCGGAACGGAGGCAAGAAGATGCGCTTCCTGGTCGCTAAGTCTGACGCGGAGACGGCAAGGAAGGTCCACTTCCGTGCGCCCCCACCCTAGTGCAGCCCGGCCTGCTGTCGCTCCTGGGCCGTGGTTTGCATGGATCAGGTCAAGGTCCGGTGGAGGTGCCACCCCTCAGCGCGGCCGTGTCCTCCCTCCAGCTACCATCACACGCCTCGGCAACTCCGCGTCTTGTTTGTACGACATACAACCCTGCGCCGTGTATATGGCAGAACCTTTATGTTGAGAATTTTACTGGGACCAGTCAATAAACTGTTTGCTATTCGAGTGTGGTGTCTGCAGGCAGCATGGGCGTGGCCGATCACACCTGAGGGGGCCGCAGGGGGACACCCTGGTGGGCACGTGGCTGACCAATTCTAACTGCCTTCCCGCCATCTGCACGCTCTGCCTGTTTGGTGCCCAGTGCCAGGTCACTTAGCACCTCCTTTAGGGTAAATGGTGGTGTAAAATGGCGGGTGGGGCCAGGTAGGGCTGTCAGAGCCCAGAAGGAGATGGGTGACCAGTCTGGGTACAGTGTGGTAGCTGGGACTGCAGGTGCGAAGCCATGGCGGCCCCTGCTGGCCGAGCTGCTCACTGACCCCAGGCGGAGCCAGAAGCCAGCTGCTGGACCAGGCACTACAGTGGTTGGACCCCAGACCTGCCTACTTGCGCTTGGACTCACAGGAAACAGGCAGGAGACGCTGCGGTGTATGCATTGTACCCTCGTCCTACCTACTTGGGAGTCTTCCCTCCTGCAGACAGCACCAAAGCAATTAGAACCTGCTCTAAACATGGCTCCTGGTGGCAGGTGACAGGCCTCAGTGGGGGCCCATCCTGTCTCTGCTTGCGGTCCGCTCTGACAGCTTGGCCCGGACTCCAGCAGTCCCAGGTTCTTGGCAGGAAATGAAAGTGGCCTAAAGACAGGGACTGGGCATTGTGTGCTGGTACAAGGCGCAGGCCTCCAGCCCCCTGGGTCGGGGAGGGACAGGCAAGCTGACGACACAGATGGTCCTCTCCAGAAACAAGGACGTGTGCCGAGAGCCTGTGCCATCCAGGAGGGCGGAGGCCCCTGTGGGAGCACGGTCACCACTGCTCAGCACAGGCCCCAGAGGAAGGGTCGAGAGACCTCTCCCCAGGACGTCAGGAAGCAACCACGTCCGGCCTCGCGCCAGGGCTGGCCTCCCTGTCCACCAGCCGGCTGACCGTGCGCAGGGCGGCAGGCAAGCTGGTGCGGGTGCTGCGGGGGGACTGCGGGGAGGAGGCCTCCGTCCCGGGCGTGAACACAAACTGCGCCACGCTGGGCATCTTGAGCAGGTTGGTCAGCTCCGTGGCCCTCGTGTGGATGGCATCTGGGTCTTCGTTCCCGGGCACAGAGCCCATGGTTGGAGCTCGGGGCAGGCCCCTCAACTTGGACAGCAGCAGAGAGACCCTGTGGACCAAGGCCGGTCAGCAGGCCCCGACGTGGAGAGGAGCCCCCAGGACTCCTGCCAGCGCAGCCCTGGCTTCCACAAAGTGGGCTCAGGCGCTGCCACCACCCACGGCGAGCCGGGTCCCTGCGGCCTGTGTCCAGCCAGCACCCGCCTTGCTGGACTTGTCAACGTCAGGCCCCTCAGACAGCCCCTGAAGGAAGCCGTTGCCTCCCCCCAGGCCCGCACTACCTGGGGATCAGATCCTGGCTGCGAGAGGCCAGCTTGGTCAGTGTGGTCATGAGCACGGTGATGACTTGTGGTGGACACGGGGGAAGGGCAGCAGAGCGGCGGGACTGGGTGACCTCAAAGAGCAGGGCCTCCAGGGCTTCAAAGAACCTGTTGACCTGCTCCACGGTGCACCGTCTGTCGTACGACACTGCCAGGTACTCGCCGACTGCCCACACCTGGATGGGGACAGAGCCTCAGCCGAGTCCCGCTTGGCCAGACGGGCCAGGGCTGGGCAGCTGGTGCTTACCACGGCCGTGAACATGCTCTCCTGGCTGCGTGTGCCGCCCACGCTCCCCACGAAGTCCAGCAGGTCTCTGGCCAGCTCCACCACCAGGGCTGGGCGCAGCTGGCACAGCGCCAGAAGCTGCGAGCGCATCACCCTGCAGGGAGCCCACAGGCGGCCCACTGGGCTCGTCACCCCGCTGGGAGCCACACAGGCAACTGAAAAGCCCGCTTAAGCTGGGGCTACACGACACCTGTCCCCTCGCTGGTCACCTCACCCGGAGCCTCTGGGGAGGCTAAGGCTGACTGAGTGCACACTTGGCTTGGGCTCAAAAGCCACGGCTGTCAGACCTTGAGCAGACAGACAGTCGGCCCTGGGACAGGACTGGAGAGTTCTGGGGAGAGGGAGTCTGAGCTCACACAGAGGGGCAGGTTTGGGAGCAGAGAGGAGGGTGGAACGTTCTAGAATGGGAGTGGAGAGGGCAGGCTGGGGTGATGGTGGGGGCTGTGATCTGGGGTCTAAAGGGCCAGGCTGGAGGAGGTCCCCAGCTGCAAAGACCAGGGGAAGCTGGCCGTCTAGGCCTGTCATGCCACCCACTGCGGGGTCTGCACGTGGGAGTCAGTCAGCGAGTAGAGGTGGGACACACCTGTGTACACGGGCCTCGTACTGTGGCACCTGGAACAGGGAGCTGCTCCTCTCCAGGATGGCCAGCGCCAGCTGGGTGCTCAGGGCCCCGTCGGCCACCTGCAGATCACGGAGGGCAGCCTGTCGGAGCCCCGCCCACGTGCTCAGCCGCTGTGCAGAAGGCAGGGGCTGTGGAGGAGCTGGCCTGGGCAGGCGAGCCCAGTGGTCTCGGAAGGGCCGAGCCGGAGGGGCCTGGCTGCCTACCTGCCCCCGAGCACCGGGGGGTGCACTCCCAGGAGAGCCCCGTGCAGCTTTGGAGAGGGCCACGGGCTGACGGGAAACTTCACTTTGGCCACAGATGGAGGTGGGCAGGGGGTACTGGGAGGCTGGCCCTGCTCAGGTGGGTAGGCAGGGGCCTGGCAGGGGGCACAGTGGGCCTCCTTGTTCAGCAGTGAGGACGCTAGAGACTGGCGAGCATCAGGAAGGCCTGTGCTGCCCTTGGCTGGACCCTCCCTCAGTCCCGTGCTGGCCCGTGGGAATGGAGGGGACCGCAGGGCAAACGTGGGCGCACCTGAGTCACCGCCGTGAAGAACACTTGGAGCAGGGTGGGCACGGCCTCGGCACATTGGACCACACGGGCACAGCTAGCCATGGGCTGTAACAGGCGGTGGAGTGATGCCAGCCTGAGGGACGAACCGTGGCCGCTGAGCACCAGCCAGCCGCCTGGTGCCCACGCCACACCCAGAACCATGGACCTTGTGAACCTGGTGCCTTGCGAGGAAGGGGAGGGACAGAACGCGCCGTGCGTCCGCCCAGCACCCGCCAGTCCACGGCCCGCTCACACCCTGCTTGCCCCTCCCCAGTAACCCAGCGACACAGCCCGTGTGCCGCTCTCACGGGAGGGTGGGGCTCTTGAGGGAAGCCAAGCCAGGGCTAGGGACACAGGCTGGTTGGGTCAACGTGGGGGCTCTGGGCTGAAAGACCTCTGTCCCTGCCCAACCCCTGGAACACGCCTCTCTCAGCATCTGTGTGTCTAAGGCCCGTCCTGGGGCTGCCAGGGGGTTCCGGCAGGGAGGAGCTGAGCACGGGGCCAGAGAGCGCAGCCCCAGGGCCGTGAGGAGAAGATGTGACGACACCGACAGCCCCTCCTGGCTCAGAACCACCAGGGCTCAGGCCACTGTCCCCTCAGCAGGCACAGTATCTCACACACTTTCCAGTTCACACACAGGCTCACACACTCAGCTCCACTCACCCAGCTGAGCACACACACGCTGACACACACAGACTCACACTCACCCCCGCCCCCTGGGCCCCTGCCCCCACCTCTCTATGGTGCCGCCCGCCTTGGTGCGAAGCAGATACTGGAAGAGACCCTGGAATTGAGGGTCCCGGAAGGCCTCCAGGCAGCTGGTGGGCCGCACAGAGATGTCCCAGAGTGGCTGCTCTGACATCGCAGGCAAGGACCTGTGGGTGGAGACGGGCTCAGAGGACAGGCCTGGGTGGGGCTCTGGGCTCAGGCCCCGTCACCGCTCTGCGTGGGGCCAGGAGCCATGGGGCGGCCCGGCTCGCCTGAGCTGTAGGTCCAGGGCCGCCGTCAGACACGGCAGGTCCAGCAGGGCGTGGAACATCTCCGCGGCGGTGCTGGTGTCTGTCAGTGCTGGCAGCAACACCGCGAACTCCGCGGAGAGGGCAGGGCTGTGCCAGGCCAGGAGCTGCAGGGCGGACATGCGCTCAAGGCAGGGCCCAGGGGGACTGACAGTCCCAGTTCCCGAGCCACCGACTTGGAGCCTGCTGTGGTCGGGCTGGGTGGGTCTGACCGCCCTCCCTCCCCAACCATAACCTATAGCACCAGCACCAAGTATCATCGGGTCGACCCTGACTCAGTGCCCCACGTGTGCCTGAGCGGAACCGGGCCCCACAAGCCTACAACAAGCCCGTGTGCCCGAGCGGAACCGGGCCCCGCAGGCCTTCAACGAGCCCGTGTGCCCGAGCGGAACCGGGCCCCGCAGGCCTTCAACGAGCCCGTGTGTCCGAGCGGAACCGGGCCCAGCAGGCCTTCAACGAGCCCGTGTGTCTGAGCGGAACCGGGCCCCACAGGGTTCAATGGCTGTCTCTCTGGAAGCAGATGGCCAGCCCTGTCTCCTGAGGCCCCTCTGGGTGGACGGAGCGTGTCACTGAGTGCAGGGCCCCTGCGGGTCCCTCCCAGGATTCCGTCTGCTGTTGCTCCACCAACCAACCGCTCCTGTTAGCAACCAGCCCCTCCCACTCGTCATTACTGTCTGTCCTGTTACAAGGACAGAGTCCTGTGATGGACTGAAGGCGGTGGACGGATGTGCTGGCCACGTGACACATCACAAGCCCTGCTCCAAGGCCGGGCACGTCAGGCTGCCCCTCAGCCAGAGGAAGTGTGAGTGCCGTGGGAGTTGGGACTGTGGGCCACACTTTGTCCCGAATAGACCCTTCTCCCCAAGAGACCCTTCTCGGACGGTCACATGTGAGGTGCTCCACGGCCCCCTTGTGCCCAACCAGGGCCCCTGCCTGGTGCCCCACGTGCCTTGAAGAGGTTCGGGAAGCTCAGCTTGAAGACGTCCGGCTGTGTGTTGAGGAGGTGCAGGCTGTCCCTGCAGAACTGGGTGAACTCGAAGGCCAGCATGGGGTTGGGGAAGAGCTCGGCCGGGAGGCTGAAGACGTGTCTGCAGACGGCCTCTGAGTCCACGGCGGCCGCCTCCCCTGTGCGGAGACACCCACCGGGTGCAAGGCCCCGTGACTGTCATGGAGACTTGTCAGGGGCAAGTTTCCATGTCTGGCCCCATGCGGATCTGAGAAGGAACATCCCAGGCGCGTGGGACAGCAATAGGAGGAAAAGGGCCCGCCCCTCACCCGGGACCCACCCGGCGCCAAGGCAGGCTCACCATGGCCCAGCAGGAAGCGGGCGATGGGAAGCAAGGCCCGGGCCTGGGCCGGGTCCCCACACAGGCGCCCAAGTAGGGCCTTGAGGCAGGACAGGGCCCGGTACAGGGAGGATGGGTCCTGGCGACACAGCACATCCAGCAACAGCACGGCCTCCACCAGGCACTGGGGGTGGGTGGGCGGAGCGATGGATGAGGAGGCGGGGCACACTGGGTGAGGGGTGGGGTCAGGGCAGATGGGGCGGGGCACACACTGCACGTGGGGGGGTCAGGGTGGGTGGGGGCGGGGTCAGGGCAGATGGGGTGGGGTATACACTATGGGTGGGGTCAGGGTAGATGGGGGGTGGGGTACACATGGGTGAGGGAGTGGGGTCAGGACGGATGGGGGAGAGGCACCCTGTGGGAGGAGGGGTCAGGGTGGACAAAGGGGCACACTGAGCGAGGGGGCGGGGGCGGGGCAGATGGGGGCAGGGCACACACTGTGGGTGGGGGGGCGGGGTCAGGGCGGATGGCAGGGGTTGGGCGGCCCAGGGGCACACACTGTGGGCGGGGTTGGTCAGGCTCAGTGCAGATAAGGCGGGCACCCTAGGGGGTGGGGCACACACTATGGTCAGGCTCAGGGTGGATGGGGGGTAGGTCTGGGGTGGCCCAGCTCAGGGCAGATGGGGGGACATCCCGGGAAGGGGCACACACTGTGTGGGCAGGGGTGGGCAGGCTCAGGGTGGATGGAAGGGGCAGCCCGGGGAGGGGCACTCACGGCCTTCTGCAGATCAGCGTCCCCTCTGCGCAGGGCCCCTGGAGGGAGGGGAGAGGAGCCCCGCGCTAAACCTCCAGGTCAGGGAGAGGAATGACGGCGGGCTTGGAACAGACCAGGCTCCTGGTGGACAGGATGGTCCTGGGGCCCTGGGGACACCACCGCCCTGAGACTGACAGGGGGACACAGCCCCCCTGGGAAGACATGGCTGTGGGGGCGACCGGCCCCTTGGGGCAGCTGCAGAGATGAGCACCGAGGAGCCCCCGGGGTCCCGTGGAAGAGGGCCCGCCCCTGCAGGCTCGCTCCGGGCAGGGCCACCCAGCGCCGACCCCACTCACGGCGGGTGCTCTGCTCCAAGATTCGCTGGCAGTACTCAAAGGCCCCCGCCCGCAGCTGCTGCTCAGGGGGCAGCAGGCGGCTGGCGCTGGCGCTGGCGGCTGACAGCACCGACAGGGTGGAGCCCTCCAGCTCTGACCTGTCATCTGTGGAGACAGAATCCCTCAGCAGGACCGAGGACGGGAACTGTGCTGGTGCGTCACTGTCCCCGGGGTCCCCAACAAGCCCCGGAGCATCCGAACTGTGTGAGGCTCTCACACAGGCCTGTGGACTTCTGCGTCCCAGGCCAGCGAGGCCGGTGCGTCCGAGCAGAACCCGGGGCTCTGTACGAGGAAGAGTTCTCAGCCAGCTCCCAGCTGGACGCCTCTGCTGCCCTGGCTGCCAGGTACAGAGGACCCACCCTGACCCAGGATCTAAAGATGCCTGCGCTGACCTGGGTGACCCACCCTGACCCCCAGCAGGCCTGCGCTGACCGTGGGGCAGCCACGTCCAACCTAAGGGCTGCCCGCCCCCAGCCTGCCTGTGGCTGGGCCGTGGGGAAGCTGTGCCTAACTCGCAGCCTGCCCCCCGGAACACCCGTGCCGTGGGCACCTGCTCCCCCTGCCACGTGCGTACCTGTGTCGGCAGCACCTGTGCCGGCCGGGCCGCTGAGCAGCAGCCAGCCGCGAAGCATGGAGAACGCCTGCACATTCCGCCGCTGGTCCTCCGTGAAGTGCTGGCCCGTGGACAGCACCGTGAAGAAGTCGGTGGCCACTGCCCCGTCCACCTCAGTGACTGGCCCGGGCTGAGGGAGGACAGGTTGGGGGCCGTAGGGGGCTGGGCAAAGCCTCTGTAGCCCCAACACTGCCCACAGCCACCCGTAGTGAGCTCCCACAGCTGCAGTGACAGACCCAGGGTGTCACCGGGCCACGGTAGTGTGTCACTGGCCCAAAGCCTCTGGGAGACAGGAATGGAGGGGTCCCTGGAGCCTGAGGCCAGTGGACAAACAGGAGTCAGTGTGACTCCACTGGGCCCGGTGCCATGGGGCAGGGGCGCCCCAGAGGGCTACCCTGTTACCTGGCCCCTGGGCTGTCCCTACCTGCCTTGCTCGGGGAGCAGGGAAGAAGCCTCCGGAGGGCTGTGCCGCCCCCTGCTGTACGCTGGCGTAGCGCAGCCAGTCCACCAGCCTCCTGTGCAGCAGGTCCGCCTGGGCTGGGGGAGGAGCGGTCGCAGGGAAGGGGTCACGTGGGGGAGGGGTCACGTGGAGGAGGTGATGTGAGGAAGGGGTGATATGGGGAGGGCTGACACAGTGCGGTGATACAGGGGGAGTGGTGACAGTGAGGGATGATGGGGCG